GTGGATTCAGCTGGTTGTTACACGAGTGGGAGTGGGGGTCCGTCGCGATCTATTACGGAAGGTGCGAAAACAGCAAGGACGGTGACGCGTCACGGTTTCGAAGATGCCAGTCACACGGCTAACGTTCGTGTTCGGCGACGCGTACAAAACGCGGGGAATGGAGCACGGGAAACAAGTAAAACTGAAACAAAAGTGAATACCAGCGGCGTTCGGAGCAGCTGCGGAGGCTTTCCCGCGGAGAAACATGCTGTGCAACCACACGAATAGGTCCAGTCCGGTGCATACACACCGACACCCGGCGGGTGCTTCGTATAAAACGCCGACAGGTACGGTAAAAAGGGAGTAATAGAGGGTGAAAGGAGAAGGATAGCGCGAGAACGGGTCGGCTGGAAAAACGGAAGGATGAGAGAGAGATAGCGGAAGGGCGGGAGAGGAATGTAGCTGAAATTGTGAATGGGTCAGCGAGTGTTCGTTCGCGCGTATTTCGAAATCATTGTTACGTGAAATGAACAGCTGCGCAAGCTACCTGCACTGCCCATAGAAACGATGATTCGATTCCAGAGCATCCCAACCGCTCGACTTTTTCATTTTTCGCCCATCGGTCCAACTGGATCACCGCTTTTACGCCTTGCCGCCCCAAACGACGAAATTCTCCTCGCGAAAGCGAAAGAAATTAATTTCTAACTCGAGATTCTTCGGGTGACTTTGAGACGACGAATTCTCTGTCGATCGCAGGGACCTCATCACGTGCGACCATACTTTTAAAGGTCGGGATTGAGTGTGTCGTTAGGACGATGCGTCGTAAATTCGACCGACATCGCGGCGCATCGTGCATAAAGATGGGCGGAAAGTCGCTCGCGAATCCGAGTCGGGGCTAAGGCAGAGGCAGGAAAAAGTGGAAACGTTCGCTGGAACATCCAAAGTGAAACTTTAAAGTGTCGAATTACGTTTCGATTTCCAGCAACAGTCTCGGAAGCCCCTAAATCTTCCCCGTACGTTGGCTCGATGAATATCAAATCGCGAACGTTGAAAGAGCCGAAAGTTTGCTCGCATCTGTCGAGCAATTATTTGTATTTAATTACGTTAGTTTATAATTACCGCAGTTTTTCCATAGCGAAATATCAGGTAAAACACTCGATCAAAGTTCGGAAGTTGCTCGATGGGAGTTCTGTTCTACTACCCCTACTTGGAAGTATTACCTTCGTTTCCTGGATGTACTTTACTTATATTCCCCGATCCACTTGCGAGGTACTTGATCCCGTCGCTAATCGCGAGCGTAGCGGAAACAGGATATCTCTATTATATATTAATGGAACGGAGCCACGACGAAACTGAGTTACGCGTGTAATAGATTGAAGCCAGAACCACGGAGATTACTGTCTTGCTACAAAACTATAGACGACGCGGAGATTGAAACGCAACTTCGGGGGGTGGGGGGGGGGGGGGGGGGAGGGTATTGTGGTCGAGGCTGCTCGAACATAACTAATGATGCTCCTCGTGTTTCCACTCACGGAGTAATCGATCTTCCGCGGCTGAATAAAACCGAGCCCTAAGATCTTCAACTGATTCGAAGTAAGTACACGCGGAACTCGATTTGCGCGCCCCTCGAAACGAGGATATCGTTTCATTTTCCGTGGGGAAGACATTAGGGACGATTGTTTTTTTTTTTTTCTTTTTTTACATCTACTCGATCAATCTACCAAGAAGTACGACGTACCTTCGCGAAAAACGCGATGTACCTAGAACGAGGTTTTGATCGAGAAAGACGGACGTCTGTCGATAGAACGACAGTGGAAGTTTTTGTCCAGGAAGATTTGCTTAAAAAAGGAGAATCATCCGTTAGAGTCTTGGGAAGCAGAATTGTTCGCGAAGAAATTTTATTGTGTCATCCATTTTCATGGGCACAAGATATTTAAATGGTACGTCTCTTGAGTGTGATCACAGACAGTGATCAATGTAAAAGGCATTGTTCGATATTCATTAAAAAAGGACGGGTAGAATTGTGAACGGTTTATAACTGACAAGAGATTAACCCTGCAATCGAGTTATCCTGGTTCCCTCGTTCTAACAAGTTGCGCCAAAGACTGGGACATTGAGCTTTCACGGTAGACAGTTCCCCGGTTCAGTCGGTTCTCTTTGCTAGTTGCGTAATCGTATTTCCAAGTCTGAATGGGAGCTCGTTATTTTTTGGCTCTCCCCTCACCCATGGGAAATAGGTCGTGGTTGAAACTATTAATTAATACAATTTGGATCTGTGCTCCGACATTAATTAACCGTCATTTGTGACGTTTCTCGACGGCTAGGCGGCAGTTTCATTGGTTTAAAATCAACGGGAAGAGCCCCGGAGGGTGCGAGGAGAGTAATTGTGTATTAATGCGGTAAATTGTTTTCCACGTCCAAGCGTTCCGAATCGAAAGCTTTGTTGAGACTGAAAATCCAGCTGCAAACGAACGTCGAAGGCCGTGGGCACCTTCGAGAGGGTATTTCGGGTCTTTTTTTTTTTTTTTTTTTCATTTATATCCAGGCAATTTTCATGATTCCTTTTATAGTCGAAGTACTCGACATAAACCTTCGAAACTGTTTTAATATAATTTCGTAGAAATATTTCAAAGGACCCAGATAAAAGTACGTTCGTCATTTCGTATTTAACAGTCATCCCTCCGAATATTTATATTCGAATAAACTCGCTAGTGTCAGACTGCGTTCAGTCGTCCCGATCCGCAGCTATTAATTTCTCTCTTGACAATCTTGTCGCAATAAAGACGTCCTATCGGCGTTGCTATCAACGGCTCGCTCGATTACCTCGCGGAGGAGCCTCGTGCTGAAAAATCGTGCGATTTGTTGTCGGAGCCTCGGATCGATAAATTTATGGTATTAGAACATCATCGTAAAAAGGGAGAAGTCCATGGACAGGCTGTTACGAATGTACAATCGCTGGGCGACATTAATCAAACTCAGCGTTTCCGGGTTGTCACGCTACGTTTGTTGGACACGCTCTGAAAAATCGAACGATTCGAAGCAAATCCATCGAGCGTCCTCCGATGATGTATTGTTCCAGGAACGTTGCAGAGCCTCGCCTTCCCGCGATCTCTCAACGCTGAAGGCCAATTAACTCTTTTTCAGTCGGGCGAACGGTTAATCAATCGATTTGAATTCGTCGATTAATTACTTGGGTAGGGAGGAGAGAAAAAAAAAAAACGAAACGGCCGGAGATTTTTCCAGGCCTGTCAGCGACGCGCATCGATTAGCCAGGGGAACCGGAATCGGCGAGTTTCAGGACGGCTGCCTGTTACTCCCGCTGGGAAAACGGCCGAAGGATTAACTGCGCGCAGCTGTAATTGAATTTTTTCGCAAACCGCGGCTAACTAATTATTTCTGACAAGGAATAACGAAATACCATGGAGTCCGCTCGTCCTCCTGTGGCGCATTACGCAGTCGAGAAAAAGGGCTGCCTGGAACTGCAATCGGAGCCAGCCTCCGACGGTATGGCCCGAAATGCATTGTTACTACTCCTTTGTAATGGAGGACAGTTGAATAAACACCATCTATGTTAATGTATAATGGTAATTTTAGAAAAACGAGGCATTAATTGTCCTTGCTTCTCTCTATCTTACATTCTCAACTTCTTACAAGATCTAATTTCATCGACGATTGAAAATAGAACCAAGCAAAATGACTACACACTCGTTGAATAGAAGATCGATCGTTCTTCCTCGGATGAAGCCCCCAATTTTTATTTCACGAGGGTCACACAGAGCGTCACTGGCATGTTCTGATTCATCATTTCTAGCCTCGAACGCTCGCGCGTGTCCCATTGTTTTCCACTCCGTCATCGATTTTCCAGGTGCTTGTTTCCTTTTTTTTTTTTTTTTCCTTTATTTCACCACGATACCAAGAGGTTGTCTTTGTTCGAATCGAACCGGTGCGCAGGTCGCGAGCCATCGTCGATCGACGAGGTCTCGCTAGACGACACGAGTCCCGGGTCCACTTTTAATTACGCGCTCATTAACGAAGGATTTAATCTGAAAACTTGCTGGCCGTGGCTGCGTTTACTCTGCCGCGGGCCGAGTGTTTATTTTTCGCAGTGTTCCGCGTTCGCGGCGGCGCTCGGGCCCCGGTATGATTAAAGCCGTGATAGCAATTCCCGTTCGCGATTCCGATTACATTTCTCTCTTGCTCGTTTGTCGAAGGACCGCTCTCCTCCCGCCGACCCGCGGATGGAACTTTTTTAAGATGAAAATTAATTTCAACGTTCCCCCACACCTCCTCCAGCAGCGGGTGTCCACCGCGATCACGGGACTATAATTAAAATTCCGCTTGTATTCGCGATCGATCGTTTGCAAATGGAAACGCAACAAGGATATTACATCCGACGGGAACCGAACGCTGCGTCACGATTGTTGGAAACGATTGTAATTCCAGTGATGTATAATGTAAGGAATTATTCGAGGTCCTGAACAAAATGCCCCTATCATAACGGAGGAAAAGAAACATCTTAGTAGGATTCGATTTTGAGATGCTTTGCTTGAAAAATGCTGTAAAAGCGTTTAAGTTAAAAAGTGTAACTTAAAGTCCTAGTCCTAAGTCGCATTGTCTGTCCTGTGTCTGACCAGTTCAGCACAATTCTACTTGCTGGAAGAGCGTGTCTGGCCATATCTCGATGTATCTACTTACCTTAGGTTCACATACAGTCGCGACGATAGCGTCTTTTGTACCTGATTCTAACTAGCTAGAAGATAGATAGATGAACATACAATCATAAAATTTATAACAAATACAAAGGAACAATATCGAGAAACGCGTATCCCAAGTCCGCTTGAATTCTACTGTAGAGAAACGAATATTTGAGATAGGCAGTTTCCGTAAGGGAAGCTTCGCGTGCATCGCGCATTTACTTTTTCACAAAGAATCAGCCCTCGACAGATCGTAGCGCGAAGTTTGCCGCATCCTGTGTATCTTTCGTTTACAATCTCCTTGTCTAACGCGGGGATACCTTTCAGACGCGCCCGAAACGAGACTGGTAGGCGTCCCAACCGGCCAGCTGGAAGAGGGTCAAGATCAGCTGGAGATACGATGCCTGGCAGACGCGAATCCCTCGGCTTCGATCCTCTGGAGGAGGACGAAGAGCCCAGGCGTGACAGAGGTGGCCAGCATAGGGGAAACCCTTCTGTTCTCGCCGATCTACAGGAATCACGCGGCGGTTTATATCTGCGAGGCGGCCAACACAGAGGGTGAAAGCAGCCCCGTGTCCGTTCAAGTGTCCGTTAACTGTAAGTGTTTCCTGCCCTCGTTTCCATTCTCCCTGCGAACGGGCCAAACGTCCTGAAAATAACCACGATCATTCCCTTAACGGCCGAGATACCAACGGCCTATTAACCCCTATCTCGTGAATTTTATTCCACCTCTCGAAAGGGGAATTATTCGGTTACTCGTATCTACGTTGGCGCAATGGTCGGTGCCACCGCTTTTCACCCCGAGTCAGATTCGACAAATTGCAGCTTGCTTTTATAAGAAATTGATCGATTAAACGATTACACCCTACTGTCGAGGGTGGATATTGAAATTATTCCGCGAAGAACGTAATCTTTAAAGGGTCGAAAATAGTAACAAAGGATAGTTTCGGGTCATAGGTCGCCGACCACTGTGATCGAGGTTAAACAGTCGATACCCCCCATTGATTCTCTCCGTATAAATAGCGGGATGAAAATAATGGAAGTATTTTTACCTTACTCCATTAACACCCAGGGTGGTGATTAATCCCTTGCGGTCGACGGACACCGTACAAAAAGAGTAGCCTTCCTAGGTCACTGGGTATCGGACGCAGACGAGCCTGTGACATCGTTACGTTTATCAAATGAGGACGTACGGCATGTGCATCATACATAAAAAATTATGTATACTAGCTCTATTTTTAGGCCAGCAAGACAGACCGCTTAAGCCGACGTCGGTTATTGTCGCGGATTAAACGGGCTGCGAAATCGTCTTTCCACGCGCGAGCGTATCAGGAATTAATTTGCGTTCCCGTCGCACTCGATTCGCGCGAGCGTTTATCCCCTGACACGTCCGCGAACGTAATCAATAAATAAAGCAGGTGGAACGTCTCGTTTCCGTGCAGATCCGCCGACCATCAGGACGGTCGGGCCCGATCGACTGACTACAGCCCTGCTCTATTCTGGAGCCTCGTTCGAGTGCAACGCCGACGCCATGCCACCGGCCGAATACAGGTGACCTAACTGCGAACCGCCCGTAACCCATAACCCTATGTATGTTCGTAATCTCGTGCATGTTCGACAAATTCTGCCCGAGACACGCGGATCGATCCCACGCGTCAGAATTCTTTAAACTTTTCCCTCGTTCACGACCCATCGAGTCGCACGAGTTACATCGTCCTCGTGGTATATGCAAATGTTTCCGCATCTACGCACAACGGAACGTTTGCGAGAGTACTAATAAGAAAAATACGAGGAAAGTCTTGCGGCTGAGTGCCTGCAGTCTTGAGTTGCTCTTTGATTGCACCAGTAAAAGTTGATTTATGGTATGCAGTGAGCAGGCAGTGAATCTCATGCACTTATGTTCACATAATAATACACATGCACTTGTCGAGTACAGTAAAGACTGGATAAGCGCAAGACAGGATTGAATGGATAAATGCAAGATTCCCTACGAAATTTGTGCATTTATGGGGACTTTACTGTACTCTGCACACGTTTTGCACGTTAGGATTCGTTTCTCCTTACCAGTATCGCAAAAATGATGCTCGTAGATATTTAGGTTCTCCTGTTTTATTTATATTCGTATTTATCTTATTTCACCGCGAATGGGAAATGTTCATCGATTCTCATAGCGGTTTCTTTGTGTCCTTTATGTCCCTGGATGTCTAGAACCATTCCGCTTCCGCGAAGACTGTTAAACGCTTGTTCGTTGGCACGATCCAAGCACGCTGTAGCGAGTAGAGAATGGAGGTGTCCGACTTGAACAAAAAAAACGCGACGATAGCTTTTTGCCGAACCAGGTGGGCCCAGATCTTCACCGACGGTCGGATGCCATTGGAGTGCGGGACTGGGCAGCGATTGATCCTGACGAACGTGACGTACGAGCAACAGGGTCAATACATATGTCTCGCCTCGAACAAGATCAATGGAAAGGTCAGGGAAGTTAAAAGCGACCCTGTGTCTCTGCAGGTGGTCGGCGCGCCCATGGTAAGGATCCGCTAGACTAAAAAATCGATGGTTCCTCGATGCGCTACAAGGTTGGCTAAAAAAATATCAAGCAGGTTCGATTTTAACCAATTTTTAACCATCCATCACAGTGGAGTAAAAAGAATTTAGAAGCGTAATCTAGGCCTTGACGATGTCTGATGAACTTTTTCGCAGAGGTATGCAATTGCTTTCCGTGCGACGGAAAACTATAGATCATAGATCGTCGTAGTTGAGAGTAGTTTTTGTCAGAGCCGCGACGTAATGTAGTAAATTAAAGTATCGAAACGCGCAATATTTTCCATGGACACCCTGATAAATTGCTGGAACGTGAAACGAATTTGTGACCCTTCGATTGGACGAAAATTAGCTGGAAAAATGTATTTCCCAGCAAATCGATCGAAACGGGTTAAAGTTTAATCGTCCTCGAGCCGCGCGACGAGCATTCCCGAGTCAAAAAGCCGATTCTGTTTTTACGCGTACCGATTGTATCGTCGGACGGCTGTTTTTATTGCAAAATCAATGTAATCGGGCAACACGGGATCGCCATTGGCGAATAATTAATAAAATTATTGTTCGCCCGTGTGTCGGCGTGTTCATCGACCTGTTGACACGCGCACACGGACGCGCGGCCACGCTGGCTGACGAGCACGTACGCGCTTTGTTGGTGCACTGCGGCGTATTTAAATATGAAATGAAAAATTCATATTTAACCGGTCCTCGTGGCCAGGGAGAAGAGAGGGAAAATATATCGCCAGGCGAAACGTCAGTTTCACGACATGCTCTCGTCGGTTGATCGCAGCGACAGTGTTTTCATTCACTTCTGCATTTTGCGATCCACGACTCGAGCACCACTCGTACCGCGCGGAATTGATGGGGAAAATTTGACTACCCGCCAGAAATGTTAATTCGAAATCGATGGGGAAAAACTAGCGAACGGTCGACGCCGATTCCATATTTTCCTAGCATTGGATAGTTTATTATCGGGACGAGGTATCACGGGGCCAGGTTTCTCTTCCTTGATAAGCTTGAAATTTTTCCCTGCGCCCGTTAATTTTGTGACTCCACGTACGTCGAACATTGGTCGAATTAAAATAAATTCGTCGATTTCGCGCAGTATCGTTTTATACAATTTATTCTGCATAAATATCACCGATAAAACGATCTCATTTGAGGCGAAATTTCTCGATCGAGAATTCAAATTAAATTCATCGACAGCATAAGTTTTTATTGTATTTGCAACCAAACAGACGTAGGCGCAGTCACAATTTGCTACACTTCGAGAAGATGAAGGAGCCTCTCCTTAGTCTATACCACTTTACCACTGTGCCACTTTAAAGATATCAGTGTTCCTGCTTTAACACGTTGATCGTCACGTCACCCATACGTGGGTGACAGTGCTTTTCACTGAAGAACTGAAAAAATTAATTCTGAAAGTCAAGCTTCACAGAAAATGAATTTAAATGAAATTCGTGTATTTTGATGAAGTTACAAAAATAAATACCACGACGGATGTTTGATTATGTAGTCTTCAATAGTCTGAATAATATTTAATGCTAGCAGAAATTTTCAAGAGTATTTCTCTGGCAGTCAACGTGTTAAACCTCGCGGGACCGTGTCGCCCTTGAAAACTGTATATTTAAGGCGTAGCACCGTTTCTACGATCGCTAGTGTCTTTTTACCGAGACCGATAGCGAACAGAGGATCGCGAGAGGACCAACCGACGAAATTGTGTTGTGTCCGCGCCTCCCATACCCAACAATAAGGAGTCAAATAAGAACACGAAACGTAGGGTACGGGATTGGTCTTGTAGGTAAAGCGGTCGACTGTGGATCCGAGGATCGTGGATTCGAATCCCCGTGCCTTATTTTTCGGTTAGACTCCTACAATTGCGTAACCGTGTGTTACAGGTTATGAAGCCGGGCATAACGGAGAAGTTAGTCGTGGCAACGACCGAGGGGAGCCCAGCAAAATTAGAGATCCGACTCTGTTCCGACCCGAAGCCCCGACTCCTGGCTTGGGAATGGGGCAGCACCAGACTCCACGCCGGTTAGACTGCTTCCTAGCTCTACCGCCAAAAGTATTCGAGTCTTTGGTTTGCCCTTTCAGTTTTTTTACGTACGTCTCTTCTCACTAATTGGCACTCCTTATCACTGAAAAGTGGTGCGCTCGCGATTAATTAATTCGAGCATCCCTTTGGCCGCTAGCTCCCCATTAATTACCCGCCTTTTTCCCGCGTCGTCCTCGAGCCAACCGTCTCGAACCTTCGCGACGAGAGCACCTTCGATCCTTCGTAGACCCCAGCGTTCCTCAAGGATCGACGGACGTGTTCGATCGTCGGACCACCAGCCTCTCGATGCTCTAGACCGCGACAGCGGTTCTTGTCTGTGACGCGCAACGACCGCTCTAAGCTCGATTTTCGCGGAATTATTTTTCGGTTCCTCGACGTATCAATGGACCGAGTAGAGAAGAGATCGATTAGGTGGGACTTGGAGCAATTGGAGATTTTATTCTATTTCCTGGGTTCCCGCAAGTTTCAACCCTTTACGCTGATACCCTTTAAAGTAAATGAAATAAAATTTTGAATTGCTTCAAGCTCTACATATATCGATCTGTTTTCTGCTCGCTTCGTTCGTGTGTCGAGCAACCAAAAAAACAATGCCTTTAACCTACGACAACGTGCGAGACTCGCGTTACAGAATTTATGTCGCAGATGAAAAACACGAGTCGGGCACGCACGATCCTACGGTAAATCGTAGGTCAAAGGGTTAATTATGCATATCGAAGCTTGTCATTTATCACATAAATATCACGGCAAGCGAAAGTAATTTCCTGTTTGGGCTGAAAATTCAGGAAACGAAATGATATTTCGAATTACTCCCACGCCCGACGGATTAATTCCCTTTTTATTTGTTGCGTGTAGTAAAGTTTGAATCATTTATTCCTCAACAACCCGTAGATATCGGGTGGATATATATTTAATTTCAATTCATTTTGGTTTTTTTTTTTTTTTTATTTTTGTTTATTCCCTTCGCATTTAACTCCAGCCCAGCGTTTTCCAATTCATTTTATTTGACTTTAAAGTGAAATGCGTTACAATTTTGGGTACAAAATCGAAATGAAAATGTACACCTGCGAATTATATAATCGGGTGGCAATCGACGCTGGATTCCACGCGTGAATTTTTTTAAAAGAATTTTGATACAATCTACGACTCGTTATGATACAGTTTGGAAAACGTTGCCCTGAATAATCTATGTATGTAGTTCGTACGTGGTTGGGATGAAACGTAGTCAGGTTTGACGCGTAAACATTCGCAGGTGAGATGCTGGAATCCCGGTATAGGGCGTTGGATCTAGAACCAGTGGCTATGGAGGATTGTTATATGGCTGTTTTAGAGCTGATCAGCACGGTCAAGGAGGACCAAAGACTGTACCACGTGATCGTGGAGAACGATCGTGGCAGCGATCGTCGAACGCTGATGTTGAGAGTCGACGAACCGGGCCAGGTAATCGTACAATAATACCAAACAATTTATCGACTAGGCACCTTCGAACTCGTAGACGAATTACTCCTCTGAATCAAACAAATTTAGTCTCTACCTCGTATCAGGCTAGATCATTAAATAAATGCTTCGCATAAGTATATCGATCTATGAAATCTTGAATACCTGAACTCCACGAAGAACGTAACGATCAGGCTTACGATAATAATTCCCAAGATATCCCAGTCCGTTCGTTCCAATATTCACGTTGTTTCCAAGCGAACGGCTCTCTGGCACGCGCGTGCACCACTCTTGGCGAACGCCAGTGTTCCAATTAAATAATCGAGGACGGACCCTGTGTCGGTATTTAATTAAAACGGCCGTAGGTATAAATATTCCGGGCGCGTGCACCGGACGAAGTTCCTCGTTCGTGCTCTGCGGGACGGGTGGGGAAAAAAGCCTTTTTTTTTTTTTTTTTTGTCAACCCGTATTTGTTACAGATTCCACTCGTTATCGGCGCTGTCGCTGGGTTTACGGTGCTCTCGGTCCTGGTAATGGGATTCGTTTGTTTCCTACGTTCGGATAGATGCTGCGTGGCCAGAAACACGGTGCCGGCGTTGCAGCAAGTGCATTGGTAAGCACGAGACATCCCTCGCTGATTTCCACGAATAAACGTCGACGCAATTTACATGGAAAAACTGGGGAGAGGACTCTTTCGAGACGGGGGAGACGTCGGCTGACCAAAGGCACCAGCGGGAAAACGGACGCGCTGATGAATTATTCTACGCACTCTTTGTCTCTATTACGGTGGATTGTCTGTACCGTGATCAGTGCTAATTCGTTGCTTTCTCTGGCACTGTGCGTGTCCTTGTTCGACCGGTCTCGCATGAAAACGCTTCATTTCGAACGAAAGGCGATTTTGTGGGCGATTTTTTTTTCTTTTTTTTTTTTTTTGCTAACGATCTTTGCGCGTTTATGACGAATACAGATACGCAAAAAAGTATATCTCGACCACATTTGAACCCGACCATTTTTGATTTGGTTGAAATTTGTTTATATTATATGTAGTACCCCTGCTACATACCTTTTTGTGAATTTTTGCAGATTTTTGTATTACACTGTACTGATTTTTGTTGTTGTAGGCAATTTTTAAGAAACATTCAAAGACACGTTCGAATTTCGATATATATTTATCGAATTATATATGCACCATTTTGTTCCACAATTTTTCCACCTTTTAAGGGATGTCCACGTGTTATTTGTTTTCAATCATTTCGATATATTCAGACCTGCACCGACTACTAAAAATCGGCACGAACTATCCAGACAACCCAATACAATATAGACAAATTTCATCCGAATAAAAAATGATCGTGTCCAAAAGTGGTCGAAATGGCTCGGTATGATCCGTATGTATAAAAACGTGTACGTACACATTTGTACGAACATCCTCGGTCTTCTTGTCGTGATTATTTCATTTACCCGAGCAACACGAAAATAAAAATAGAATCCGCGTGATTCGAGCCGGTCAGCTTGTCCTGTTGCAGCACGAAGGCCTCGAACACGATGATCGAGGATCCACGCCTGGCTGTGGACACGATGGAACGAGCGAGCCAGCAGTACGCCTCGGAAAAACGACCCAATCACGTCCTGAAGCCCGTCCCGTCGCAACAGTATCAACAAGACTGTTATCAACACGATCCACCGCACCAGCAGCAACACTATCAGAGGCATCATCACCACCACCACGGGCAACCCCACGGACCACAATACACGCTTCAGGTCAGATAAGTTGATAGAAAGAGAAACAAGAAGCAAAAGTTATTCTCCCATAGTTGAGAACGATGTCGCTGAGCGACGTCCTTTGGAATTATTTTATTCCCCCTTCCCCAATCCTCGTCGATTGTCGCGCGGATGCACGAACGACACGGCGCTAATTTCTGGACTCGGAACGTAGTCTCTAGTTTACGATTCTTAGGTGAGAATCGACCCAAATCCGTCAAAGATCCTTGCGTTTCGGATATTCTATTTTTAATACCGTCAGACCTCCTTCAACCCTTCCGCGCGCGATCCTTGCCGTGCTTGCCGTTCTTAAAAGAATGTTTAACCCCTTTCGCTGGCGTACGACCGACGGGGCGGTTAAAAATTCCCTTAGGGTCGAAAACCGCACGGTGGATTTTTATTTGGTCGTTGGGGTGCGCGGAAGCACGGATTAAGGCAAACATTTTTCGGTGGAAGCTCGAGAAACCGTAGCATTCGAGAGCAAACCCCCTCGCTCAAACGGAGAATCTGCACGCAAAAGGGTTGAATTGGGGCAAGCGTTCCGTTTCGTTCGCGTTGATTCATTTCTTCCCACTTCGTCGCGATGTGATCTCGTTCGATGGAAGTTACGGAGCATGTTTCTGTCCTCTCTCCCCCCCCCCCTCTGCTCCCCCGGTTAGCGAAAGTTTGCGACACTTTGAACGAGACAGAAGAGTTTTAGCGTTTTATCGTTGATTGTACAACGTAGCGGAACAGTTTCACATTCTAGAGAGTCTAGCATCCGTTAACACCTTACAGATATTTACACGAGATCTAGAAGTTGGCAAGAACTGGAGTAACTCTGGCATGAACGAACCCCCTTAGTTCTCACGGTCTAGCGATTGTAGTTGGAGTTTTTGCATTTGTCCCTCGCCCCTACTTAGGAAATCATTTCGAACCCATCGCCATTAGTGTGTAGCGTGCTTGTCGACGCACATCGTACCGTCCAGTTTACGAGTCTAGACCAGAGACGAGGAGCTTTTCAACGGTAGGAGTCATTTTGATTTTCGATGCAAACGAATTCAAAATAAATTTCTTCGTATTTTATATTTACAATAAAAGCTCAATGGATAATCATAACAAGTGATTCATTTTCGTATATCATAGTCGAACAATTTCTTGAATCGACGAGAACCACGGTGATAAATGATTAAAACGTCTCTGATAAAAATGTTTCAAAAGGCATCGTGCCATGATCGGGTAATGTTTCGTCCTCGAAAGAATCTTCTCAAAGCGCGCACTATACGAAACGAAGTTTTGTTATTCGAACGAACGGCTTTTGAGAAACGTATATCGTCTACGAAGGGAGAAGATGCATAATTGATAAGGTATGAAAATATGCCGCAGGATTCCCCATCCCTGGTCTGGGCGCACACGTTGAGATCGTCGTCGATACTTCCATCCCTTAGGTTTTTCGTTTCCTTCTCCCCTAACTCTCCATTCGCACTTATCGAGAAGTGGTCTCGTAACGAAAGCATCGCTCCGGTATGTATTCAATACGCATTCGAGAGAGCGCTGGAAATGCACGTGCTCGACTTGAACGCAGATAATCCGGTTGAATAGGAGCAGTCCGTGCCGGACCCCGATGATTTAATTCTACCTGTTCTCGCTCCGATCGATCGAGTTTTCGCGTTAAATGGTTCGTACGTGCGGATATAAAACGTTCTCGACCATTATTGCTCCTCTTCGCGTGTTCGGAGGCTGCCTATAAAATATTTATTAAATAATAAGATATTAATTAGTTTACAATTTTGCCTCCATTTACATAGAGAAGAAGACCATAAAGGGTTGAAAACCTGTTACATCTGCTTCTATATCAATTTTTCATTTGACGAACATGCGACCACTTCTAGTTTAAACTTTAAACCCCTACCCGAGTAAAGAATCAGAGCTGGGTAAGATTTCCAATGATATATTTCAAACGCCGTTTTAGATAGGGAAATTTCGGTACGGAATATTTTCATTTCGACATTCGGCTAGTGTAAAATGAAATATTTCAACTTCCCACTTCAAACGGATACTTCAAATATTTCATAGTGAAAATAAATTTAAGTAAATACAATATTTTCAAATGAAGCTCCCGGTATTTCCAGTGTCTCTTCAATAAAAATAAAAAAAAAAAAAGAAAAAAATTAAAAAAAAAAAGCCAGTTTAACAATTCGCAACGCTAAATAAACTATTTCATTTTCGCTTCCGAACGCATGGTTTGAAATAAAATTCGCTGTTTACTGTGTACGATAATACTTCGCCCAGCTCTGCGAACGTTATTGCTCAGCTCTTCCCCGTTATTTAAATGATTCGAACAACGTCGCGATCATACCGTGTCGCAGTACGCAGAAAACGAAGAAGTAAACGATTTCGACGGATCTCTTGTACATACGCGTAGACCATGCACGAATCACGCAACGTCTCGAGCTGGCCAACGTTTAGATTTACTTCGTACGCTTGTATATACGTATAAAATCGTCACGTTAAAAATGCGTTTCAGGTAATGGCAATACTCGTGCAATAACGTCACGACGACGATATAGTTCTGCGCAAATATTGACCATCTCCTGTCCCTGCCCCTTCCCCCTCTCCACCCGATCGAGATAGTCATTTGAATGATTTATGCGGTCGGTAGGGTGCATTACGCATGCATTTGGTTGCATCCACTCCCCCGCGCGGTGTCCCTTTCCCAATTACCCGCAATCTCCTTGTAGGTAATTTAATTTAGGTACGTGTACGTAAGTAGCGGATACAGCCGCTTCTCCCATAACGCGATTACGATCTTCCGGAGCAACCGAACCGTGCACCGTTTCGCATTAATTAACGACGAACGATCGAACGTATCGGGCCACCTATGCTTTCTCTGCGTGGTGTCTCGTGGAACCGAATCGGGACACGTGGAAACGGATTTTACCAACGGCCTAGTCTGACACGAAGCGTTCCGACTCGTACCCCGCGTAAGAGGCGCGGGCGCCAGGTACGTGGAATCGAAGATTGCTTTTCTTATTTCTGTTCGTCGGATACACGTAGGCCGAAACGATCGACGACTTTGATTGGATGAAAATTCATGTTGGGAATCAAGAACAGAAAATTACGTCCTTTTCGTTATTCGGAGTCTATCCTGAGTTCCGATTTCCACGAATCGTTATCAAAGGTGTTACGTCGGGATAGCGCTCCGTGTCATCAAAGATATGGGGGCCAATTATCCCTCGAGCCATAAACTTGGCGCCAAACTGTGCAGCGAGGATTTACGTCTTGGATTTTCATTTCCCTGCTAAACGCGAATTTTGTTTGTTAACAAACTCATTTAAATGGAAATGAACCTCCTCGCTCGTTCCAATAAAATCATCCCATTTCGAATGCCGGTTTTTGGAATCAGTCTCTGAACGTTGCTCCTTGTTTACGATCGCACCAGAACATTGTTCCTTGACGTCAGTTACGTCAAGGTCTGTTACCTATCGGTTCCATCTTTTGTCCCGATGCTTATTAGAGCAACGATTTCATTTAATTTTTTGCAAAACGTTACCGATTGTTTCAAACCCGATGTATCTCATGGTTCACTCTGTACGTATCTCCGTGCTTGCATAATAATCCGCGAACGTTGTTTCGCGTCATGGGAAGAGCCGCGCTGTGCCGACGCGAGGCGATTGCGTCGCGTGTTTCGTTTGGTGAACCTGCATCGCATCTTTGTCACAGCTTTCGCATAATCCAAACAGGACCGTTTCTGCTACCGCCACGTTTCGAAACTAAAGACTGACTCGCATTAAGTATGTTTCATTTTTAAGTATACCGAATCATGTACCGAGGTGTCCAACAACCTTTCGAACGTATATTTTCGATACTTTAACGTTGTATAACGAAAATTGCATAAGTGGCAAGAAATTATGTTCGACTGTTCGGATGGAAGGAAAATTCGTATCGTTCGAGGCCTACGTTTCAAAGCAAAGGAAACGAAGGCAAAGCAAAGACGATCGTTCGTCTTGATAAATGCCCCCTAGATCGGTCGGCAATGCGTTTAATCGAGATCGACGCCGACGATTATTTAAGATGGTCGAACGATCGCGATGGAAACGGTTAAGTTCACCCGTTGCTGTACATACGCACGCTCGTTCACCCGAACCCCCCGATACCTAAAGGCGTACATGCATCTATTTACTTAAATCGATACACCGAGAGACATAACGTGCGCGCTCGTTAGCGGACCGTAAACGATTTAATCGTTCAAGGGAATTTCCGTTGGTTGCGTTTAACGGCGGCGATCGTTGCTCGACGATCGTTGCTCGACGATCGTTACGATTTCGTTTCATGAACGTTACGATTCGCGTGCATGCTGAAAATTACATTTTGCGCGCGCATAGGTTTATGCCCTCTTCTCTCGTTCTCTCTCTCTCTCTCTCTCTATACCGTCACTTTTGCACTCGATCCAATCGCGAGCATTGTTATCGCTAGCTGAATTATTGTAACGATTAATTAGTCGCTCGTCGTATCTCGATACCGCCGCCGTCGACGTCGGTGTCGGGGTCGTTTTCACGTGACGTATATTTACCGATTTTTAGTGCCGTCACCGTCAACGTCGCGACATATCAACTTATTAGAACCTATCTGTGTCTGTCGTTTTAACGATGTAAACGTTTCTTTATATTCTCCGTTGACTCTATTATTTTTTCCGTTTAAATAATTCGATCGTGACCCGTGTCGCGGCGTCAAGTAATCGTGATTTCGCGTCGCGTGAAAACGGACCTCCTGGCGCGCCAGTAATCGAGCGATCGACGCGAGATAGCGTTGTACGATGTATGGAAAAACCGTTCGAACGAACTTCGAGCACTCTTCCGTGTAAGATGTTATCATTAAAAGATGATCCATACAGATGCGTGTGCGTTACCGTTTGTTATCAGACCCTCGTTAACATCCTCTGCGCATCTTCGTGGAAACGTCACGTTCGCGAGCATGTTGTGACGTTCTCACATCGGGGGTTCCCAATGCCGACATGCTTCGCCTCTCGATTCCTCTCCGAGAACAGACGTAATCTCGATCCTTTATCGAATCTGTGACTTAGGAAAGCGTATTTAAAAGTACAAAGTAAATCGAACTCTGAGAGATGATCGAAAGGCCAGATTGGGAGCCCCAGCATCGAGACTTGCACAGTGTGAAAGTTGGCCTAAGTCGCGCACTGCCCGCTTCGGTTACCCAGCCTCCCGTTTCGTTCAGCTTTCTAGAACCGCCCCCAGGACCGTTTTACGACATGAAAACGACGATTTCCGAGAAACGAACGACGGAGACGAGAATGTGATTCGAATTGAAACGATGATTCCTCCTACGTCATTTACCAACCGTTAAACCAAACCGGCATAAATGTTTATTTACGCTGTTTGCCGCAACGTTATTTTTCGATATCGACAGTATATTAACGCGCACTCGTCTGTTTACAGATCGTCCGTAAATATGCAACAGGATATTCCGTTTGGAATATCTAAATTAAACTTGTCTACACTTTCCACGTCTGTTTCCTCGATGAGAAATTGTCCTGTTCCTGTTCGTAAACGTGATTGATCATCCCGTGTATATCGATACTGTAATTAATATTTCTCTTAAAAATGCATCGTGTAATCAAAGTGCATGATTTACGCGTCATTGTCGGGCGAACGTGTACCACCGACGCGACGCTGAATAATACCGTTAGAGAACAACGATTCGATTAGCCCCAGGAGTAAAACGGCCCTGTTTACTTGCTCGCGTTATGTGGAAAACTGCACAAGCCGCACCTGTGTAACCTATAGTCGAATCAAACTCAATTAGCCGTGCGAGGACATTCACCCCATCGCGAGACTCGCCTTGTTTTTCTCCGTTTCTGGCACGATGGGGATGACTTCTCGGTGACCTTGAACGGCCACTTGAGTTTGTTATTACTTCAGACGGGGCTCTGGTTCGTTGGAAGCAAATTACGATTCGTTAACGATCGAACTACAATTGCAAAACTGATGGACTGATGAACACATCAGGAAACAAAGTATGCGAAGCCAATTTCTAGTACTAGAAACGATTAAAAAAAGAAAAAAAAATTAGATACGTAGAACCCTTCGAAGGAAGAGTTCGTTGTCGAAATAAACCAGAACCCTGGCCTCGGTTCGCAATCCTGACTGCCACGCAATGACCCGTAGTTAGAGATGGCGTGAACTGTTACTTTCGAATCACTCGTGATTCAATCACGACGATTCTTCGCAATGATTCGTGATCACTTCTGATTGATACAGAACATTCGTTTCACTTTTCACGAATTCTGTTGTTCTTAGATTATGTATGTATTATAATATAGTCTGAAACCAATGTTAATATAGTTTTACTACAAATTAAATTTGACTCATTCGTAGTTTCTCGAACTTCCGCTAAGGAGAGACAGCGAGATACTAACGATAACAATTAACGTGAAACGCTTCTGAAACGTCATCTTCCGGATCACGGTCGCGATCGAACTTTAATCACTACTGCGATCGCGAGTATGTGATCGCTGCGAAATATCACTGTTAGCGATTTTTCACGCCATCTCTACCCGTAGTGACGTAGAGATTGTTTAAGCCGGGTGCCTTCCCCGCGCAATTATCGATCGTGACCCTCTTAAGATCCTTGAGATGAAAATTGTGCAGGGGGAGCAGCTGTTTCTCAAACCAGATCGTTTAGCGACACTGAAGCCCCACTGCAAGATCGAGAAGCCGCCACAGTACACGACGTTCAAGCCGAGCTCGAACAACTGAAGATTTTACTGTTTCTATTTTATATTGATGTACACACGCACACTCGCACGCGCCGTAGGGGAGGAAAGGAGAAAAGATGAAAAGAATGTATTAGGACCGAGAGACTGAACCAGTGGCACGCAATCAAAACGAGGAGATCGATCGTGACTCGTTCCCTCTTCTTCGTTCGTTCGATTCGGAGAATAATTTCGCGGTCGACGACCGGTGAATCTCTGGTGAATTTGTCTATCTTCTTTTTTTCCCCCCCCCTTTTTTTCTTTTTTTTTTCTTTTTTTGTTTATTTTCACGTTTGCGTCGCGTAAACGCACGAAGAATGTCGCTCGAACGCACAAGAACAGTGAAGGATCGGTCGTTGTTCGTATTATCGATGAAACTGAAGGAACGCGACGCCGTCGCCGATGTTAATCGAATAGATTTCATAGTGAAGATAATTTTCTCGCAAATAATACTGCCAGTACCGTTCCGATTTAAACGATGATCTGTACGACGTCAGAACCAATCAAAATGAGAACTATACGAATCGTATTTATAACGCTTACGGTAATGTTGTTAATAAAACGGTGATTTTCAGCAGCTACTGGGTTTTATTCATATTGTACGAAACAGCGAATAGTTTCTATTGGTTAACGAGAGAACACTTCTTTTTTCTTTCGTTTCGGCGTAATTGTTACCGATATCATTGAAAGACTTTCAATAAAGGAATTGTGCAAACATTGTTTGTCGTATTTGATTGCAAGTTCCAGTATGAATTACACGGTCCGTCTTAAGATGACAAATCGAAGCACGTGTACTACGTATTCCTAATACTACGAACTATTGAAATATCCTTTGTCGTTTTACTATCCGAAGTTTACTTTTCAAGATACGAGCAGTTACAGTTCTAAAAATTTTAATTCTCGAATGATCGGACGCGCGTTGTTCAGTTTATGGACCCGGAAACGCTATATCTAGCGGCAGCATCTGAACTAAGGCGCCTGTGCATATGCAACCCCCTGTGCTTACTTGTCGAGTAACGAGTATATCGTCAGGGGCGTCAGGTAATTTTTTTTTATCGGTGTTGAATATTTTGTATCCTTTTTTTTTTGTAAATAAATAGAATTAAACATTTATAAAACTAATGTGATATTTGATAGCAGTCAATTGTACCGAATAATGTAACTTTTTTCTTTGGTACATTATGTATCTTTGTACCTTCAGAGTTCTCTCGTAGTTCATACATATCCCGTTAGGTGCCTATAGTATCGCTAAGATCAAATGCTTTTCAACCTAGAGTTCCTGAATTATTAGAGAAAAAATGTATCGCATTATGTAATTAAAAACACAATTGCTTGAAACATTACAACAAAATGACTACATCGAAACCAAAGATCGATCTATTGATCACGATATCGAGCGCCATCTATGAGATAAATTTCGAAATGATTCAGGTTTAACGTTTGGCCGTAAGAGAGCAGCTTGTAAGAATTTGGGAGATCAATTATTCCTTCTATAACTTTGCTTAACCAATGTTTAGTGACGTATACCTCGTGTTTGCGGTTATACGAGAAATACGGGCGCGAAGAGTAGGTTAGCTTTTGTATTTCAATTACTAATAAAAGTACTACTTGTCGATTTTCAAAATTCTTTTTATACATTTACACTCTAATGTAAATTGACATCCTCGCAATCATGGCGGTACGTGTACAATTCGAGAATAACAACGAAATTGGCGTGTTTTCCAAGCTAACGAATTCTTACTGCCTCGTAGCAATTGGCGGTTCCGAGAATTTCTACAGGTAAGAATAGATAAGTACAACTATCATTCGATCTTGTTAATATTAAACCGTTTGATATTACTTTCGATGTTGCAATAGTTTTCACGAGCGGCTTTTCGATTTCATAACCTCTAACGTACATTGACCTGAAATTTAACAGAGGTGCATACTTTCAATAATTTAGATATTGTTAATTACAGTGTATTTGAGGCAGAGTTATCTGAAACCATTCCCGTAGTTCATGTTTCAGTCGCTGGATGTCGTGTGATAGGTAGATTGTGCGTTGGTAAGAGTAAATGGAGAATTGTATAAAAATATCAAATACGATGCGCTCGAAGAGAAATTTTAAAAGTGAAATTCAATTTAAATAGGAAACAAAAATGGATTGTTGGTCCCAAATACGACAACAGATACAGAATTGCAGCATATACGAAATTCATTGCCAGATAGTGTTAAGGTACAAAGAGTTGAAGAGAGACTCTCTGCCCTTGGCAATGTTATTGCGTGTAACGATTATGTGGCTTTAGTACATCCTGATCTAGATAGGGCAAGTACTTATTGCCAACTATAACTGTAGCCTTCTTTTGACTTTATACTTGGAATTTCTATTCTGTAGGAAACTGAAGAAATTTTAGCTGATACTCTGAATGTAGAAGTTTTCAGACAAACTGTAGCAAGTAATGTTTTAGTAGGCTCGTATTCTGTACTGTCAAATCAGGGTGGCTTAGTACATCCAAAGACATCTATACAAGATCAAGATGAATTGTCATCCTTGTTACAAGTGCCTCTTGTTGTAAGAGAATATAATATACGTGTACATAGTGAACAAAACAGTTGACACACAAAAGATTTACTATATAATAATATTTTTTAGGCTGGCACAGTAAATAGAGGCAGTGATGTTATAGCTGCAGGAATGGTTGTAAATGATTGGGCATCTTTTTGTGGTATGGATACAACCTCTACAGAACTTTCAGTTATTGAAAGTGTCTTTAAACTTAATGAAGCTACTCCAACTGCTATTACATCGACTATGCGTGCATCTCTTATAGAAAGGTAAGCATATCCGTAAAAAATGAGTACAAACAATTTTAAGGTATTAATCCGTGTTTTTTTATTTGTTTCAGTATGTCTTAAGTGACTGTGTATTCTTCAAGAGAGCATGAAAGTTTGATGGATAGTAGGTTGTACATGTATGTACATACATTCAATGTTTGTGTCAATACAATTCCATGTACCAGTTCCATGTTATGCACAATATAACTGTAGTAACAACAGTTTTTCTACAGTTCAAATATAAAATAACTTAGAATAATAATGAAACATTCTGTACTAAAGTTTTTATGAAATCATTTATTTCGATCTAAAATTATGAAATCAATTTTGACTTTACAATCGATTATAAAAAAGAAATACTTACCTTGCCTTACATATAAGAATAGTTCAAGCAAATTTCCATAATCATGTATAAAATAATGTTTCCCTGAAAACTATAAACATTACACTTGCCACTAAAGAAGAAAGCATACAACTTTCTTCATTTTATTAAAATTTGTTTAATGTATGAATTTATAAATATAACTGCATATAAAACGGAAATATTTTATTGAAATATAGTTTAATCGGTAATATTCTCTTTGAATATAAACATTTTTTTTATGTCAAAAATGTAAATCATTTCAATTCTGACTCTAACTGCCTTATATAGTAAATGAACTATTGTAAACAACATTGTGCGGACCAGCCTGCTAATTAAATTTATTACAAATGAAGAGGGGCAGCCTGGATTTTATTAATTTTGATTAACAAGACTAGAGTAATGGTAATTGTTCAGCATGTAACAATTCGGAAGCAGCAGCGGAATCTGCACACATAACTAATGTAATGCCAGCCTGATAAGATGCAGGAATACGAATGTGAGTTGTACCAGCACTTGCATTACTAAGCTGTCGTTTCTGAGTCATTGCTTCGCGTACCATATTTACAACTTGCCCTGATAAAGAAAATATATGAGGACAACGTTATATATCAAGTTAATATATATCAATTATATACAAGTAAAAAGATTAACAATACCGAGAACATTGAGCTTTCGCCACGTGTGATCCATAGTAGCGAGTGGTGTTAGATCCGTGTTACCATTCCAATGAGCTAAAACATCCGCTCGCCGTACTAGTAAGATGCTAGGACTTACAAGTTGATGCCAAACATACTACAATCGAATTAAATTAATATATTATTTAAATAAATATGATATATCACGATTATAATCTACCTGTTCAGGTAAACATTCTAATGGATTAGTTAAATATATTCCCGCTTGTCCTACACCAAATATCATTTGATGATGCCAAGCATCTGGTATATCACATCCTTCCCCGCAATGTTGTAAATTTAACGTTGCGATAGGCACGGCACCTGAACAAGACACGGTATATTTGTAAAAGATTGATAGGTTAGATTATATCTTCTCAATTAATTACGTACCCTTCGAAATCCAATAATGTAGCCAATGAGACAGGGAGACTTTTCTTTCTGGATAAAATGCAAAAAAATTTGTGATAACTGAACCATTTGTACATGAAGCTATGCCACGAGCCAAATCTTTATGCGTTGATCCAGCTACAGATCGACTCAATAAATATCGTGGTAACGGTGTGCCTGGTTCTCTTTGCCTGGTATTTACACCTTTTACTAACGTTTCCAATGAAAATGACACGTTTAAAGCCAACTAAAAAAAAAAAAAAAACATTGTGTAATTGAACCGTTTAATTGAATTTACTACTAATACACATACCAAAGCATTTATTGCAGAAGTAGCACCACACGCAGAGGTGCCAATTTGTGTTACTTGCTTCACTGTAGCTTCTTGTTCACTCCATAACATAACTTTTTCAACTGGTAAAAGACCATCTAATCGTTCATTGCATAACTCGTTTTCCTGTAAGTAAAAAAATATTTGTAAATTATTATAGCTATACAAAGTACTTTATTTTGAATCGTAACAATAAAGTCTATTAACTAAATTCGAGTCGCCGCTCTGATTAAATGCAGCTTGCTTGTTCAGCATTAACTTTTTCGCCATCATGCGGTGATAAAGAGTCGAACTAAGATTAACTCTTCTAGAATTTAAGTTTGAGTTCTCCGAAACAGATGCTGTTGAGGATTCGGCCCATAATTCTGCATCAGAATCTCTGTTGTCTCCGGGTGAAATAAGGTCTCCGCTCGTATTGTGATATCCATACGATTCTCGTAAAGGACATCCTATATTACGATATAATCCTGCGGTTTCCCATCTTCCTATAAGTTTTCAACGAAATATATTACTTTTAATGAAATCAACATTCCATAAAAATCATGAAAGTAGCAAATATACCAGTTCCTCTGCTAGTACTTGGCATCCACGACGAGGGATAATTTGGCTTTATACTTGGTTCTGGTATGGATTGACTACTAGAACATTGTCCTGCATGATCTACATTTTGCACACTCTGTTTCGGATGTTGCGACATTGTTGCAATTCCTTGCCGAGATACAACTTTACCACTACTTAAGTCATTTAATACTGGATCTGGATCTACGTTATCTAATGCTATATTTTGTATGTCTTCGTTTATAGAGGCCAAGTCACTATCTCCTGTATCCTATATAGAATGAAGTTACTATAGAAAATGACATTACACTTTCATTACACTAATTCAATACCTGCTCACAAGAAGGCCCAGGATCAAAGTCCATTTCTAAAAAATCCATCTCTGGACTTGATCTACCGCTATGATATTGTCCTTCTTCTTCCCGTTCTTCAGCTTGTCCCTGATGCAATTCTTCCTTTTGGGCTAAATGAATTGCATCGTCATTTCCTTTATATGTATAAATACAATAATCTTCTCCATCCGACATATCACCCTCGTTTCCGGAACTTGAATCTCTCCTTTCACTTTGCTCTCTTTGTATACTCTGAAGCAGAGAATAGCATATATATATTTTTTCTTAATAGAATATTCATTTGAAGCTATATAAACTCACTTTCTGTAATCCGCTTGGTCCTGCTATTTCCCTATTTCCATTAATATTAGGTCTTAAGAAACAACATGTTCCTTGACTCGTAGAGCCAATACTACCTCCTATATTATTCAGTACACACGTAGATCCATAGGATCTCGATGCCCAGGCACCATCCACTTCAGGACTAGAGTCTGAACTACACGATACTTTTGATGGACATTTTTCAATTCCAGAAATGTAATCTACATTATTTTTCATATCGATATCCTCGCTAGGTCTAGGCAACAATAAGTTTGGTTGTATTATAGGTGAAACTGATGCTGTATTGTTCAAGTGTAAAATAGGATTCGATGTAGCGCCGTCGTTATAAGAGACTGGCGTACAAGTGTGATTTAAACATGTGTTAGTTTGACTGGAAGATACATTTAAGTGCATTTGAGGCTTAGGCAAATTTAAAGTGCTCGTATTCAGTACAGTCTTATGCTTCAATTGACTTGTAACAGTCGTGTTTACAGTTGGAGGCTTGATATTGTTGGTATTTAAAAATATGGAAGATACGCTCGTATTCATGGTGTCTTGATTTGTATCTTGATCCATAGAATTATGAAAACTGGACGTAGTGGCTTGTGGGGTTCTTGTACCATTAACCAATGCAACTGAGCCTTTAGAAGATAGAATGTTCTCGGCACTGTTCTCTCCTAACTTATTATTTAACTTCAGTTGATCTCCGCATAATTTGCTTTCAATCTGTACAACTTTAGATAGTTTAGATGACTGTTCTATTGGTTGATTACCATTTTTTTTCAAATTTCCATCCATTCTTGTCTCTGCTTTGTTCTGATTATTGCTTGTATTTTCTTGAGAATTCATGTTATCTTTAAAAGGAGAGCAGTAACTCGTCTGTTAAAAGGTAAATAGATTATACATTTTTTATTCTTAATTGATGGCATCAGAAGATCAAAGTCGACGAAACAACAGAAAACCGTGTCAAGTAAAACTGTGTATTCCAAAAAAATGTGTTGGTACGTTTCTTACCTTCGAATTATATTCCAAAAGTTTCACGATTACGCGTAGTGTAACATTAGTTTATGCTCGAACAAGCTTAAGGTACAAAAAATCGAAAGTGTCAGTCTTTGATCGTTAGGTTTACTGAAAAAGTAAGGATATTGTTAATCGTCTGCGAAAATGCTGTTGTGTCAAACGAAAAGAACGAAAGGTTCTCACTAACATCTTCTTCCGTATTAGTTCCGGAAGTCAGCTGATTGTTAGAAACAAGTATAGAGAAAACGGAGCTGCGTTATTTTTTTTTCGTATTTCTTTCCGATTAAATATATCTAGTTATTCATCGCAACAGAGAGCAACGTTGGACATCGCTTTCGTTAACGCGAACACGAGCGACTTTAAATGAAAATTCTGACGACTTATCGTCACATGAATGGGAGAGATCATCAGGTTCTCTTCGATATTTACAAACTATTATCGCACAGGTTGCATACGGAATGCGTTTCAGATTTGCCTGAAAGGAAATACTATCTAGAAAGTCGATTTTAAATTGGAAAACATCGTGATGTAGAACGCAAACGATCCGAGCCACGGCTCGAGGAAAATATGAACCAATCGTACAGTCATGCACACCGAGAGACATTAATTCGTGCCGTCTAAGGAGAATATGACACGCCAAACGCATCCCCTACTGCGTGCAGTTGCCGACAGTTGCCGACGGAAACCGACGGCTACCGACACCGACGCTGACATTTTCATAGCAGTGTTGGTACTCGCTATGCTAGATATGTGTGTGTTGTGTGTGATGCCTACTAGCGCCGCCTGGATTTGTCTTACTAACTAATGTGCTTGGACCATGAATGAGACCACGTGAAACAAATAACAATAACCTATGAAAAGATTTTTTAAATGAACGTTAATAACTAAGAATATTAATGTACGTGAAGTAATGTAATATTAATGTAAGTGAAGACATCGAAATTTAAATATATGTAAAATGGCTCTTTCAAGAGGTAAGTAAAGACGTGATTAGTTTTAACTTTTAAATATCTATAATAAGTATTATTCATGTGTGTATACTTAACAGAATTACTGAAACGCTTGAACTTGGATGAAGAACCTTTACATAAACGTTTGAAATTGGCAGAAAATGCTTTTCATAATATCGATATACCAATAATTCGCAAAGAAGATCTAATTCTGGGATGGCTTTGTAATTGTAAAACACATTCTACGGATCAAAATGTTTGGCTCTCTCTGAAGAGTTGTTTAAAAGCCACGCATTTCGATGTTAAGGTTGATGTAAAAAAATTCTTGATTAATGTTCTTGTAGAAAAATTACAAGAAGACATTGAAAGTGTACACAGTGATATTTCTGAATGCTGTGAATTATTGATTTCCAATAATGGAATGCAACAATATTTCATTAGCAATCCAAAAGATTTGGGGGTTTTAGTCAAGTCTTTATTGAATTATGTATTTAAACTTTATAAACGTACCTTCAATATCGATGAGCATTCAAAAGAAGGTATCGATGTAACTTTAATTAATGAAAACAATGGATCAATATCGATAACGTACAACATAATAAT